ACTCTTTAACTGTAACCTTAAACCTTTATGAACACAAGCTGTACTGTAGCTGGGTTAGTTTTCCCAGAGAAGCTGCATGTAATGTAATGTGTGGGATTTGACTGGCCAATTGATTCATACTGGATTCAAATCACTCCACAATTATTACAGTCAGACTGTAAAACTACACACACTGCAGATTCATACTGGATTCAAATCGCTCCACAATTATTACTGTCAGACTGTAAAACTACACACACTGCAGATTCATACTGGATTAAAATCGCTCCACAATTATTACCATCAGACTGTAAAACTACACACACTGCAGATTCATACTGGATTAAAATCACTCCACAATTATTACTGTGAGACTGTAAAACTACACACACTGCAGATTCATACTGGATTAAAATCACTCCACAATTATTACTGTAAAACTACACACACTGCAGATTCATACTGGATTAAAATGTTTTTTTTGGCACAAGTTCACACTCCCCTCCAGCTAAAGCTTCATGTTACTGATCTGATGTGACGCATTTCCATCTAGACAATATTGACACGTCCTGACAGCCTGACAATGTGACACCCAGACTAATGAGGCATGATGTGTGTTCAGGCACTAACGGAGATAATCTTAAGCCTGAGATCAACACGATACGACACAACAATGACCATTCAGGAGTAAAGCTCATAGAAACACTAACACACAGACACACGGAGAACCGGGGATCCACACACTGAGCAAACTTCTCCACTTCATCCGTCTTTACCTACACTAACTACAGTAATAACACCATCACAGCCTAAAAGCTCAGGGACTTTCCACATATTAATAACCTGGCGGCGCTTTTAACACATTATCAGATAATCTTCTTAAATATTTAAACCCAGTTTAAAGAAACTAATTATTACTTTTACTCTTTAATCTTAAAGAGGAATACCACCAATTATTCTAAAATCACTGCATTATTAGATGGTTAAGAGTCATTGAGAGTGGTTTGGTGTGAAACGCTCTGTTCTAGATAAACTTACCGAGTCAGAACTGTTCACAGTGGTGGTGATAGGAACCAGACGTCCACCTCTAAAAGCTCCCTCACAGAAAGTTCCTACATGAAATGGTTATGAATTCACTGCCTGATGACTGAGACACTGTTTTAGGATAGTTTAGAGAACTTAAACTCCATTCATGGTGGAGGGATACATGCAGGGCGCTGTGAGGCAAAATAGTCCCCAAAGAAAACTTATTATTTCAGATTTTCCACTATTTTCCATCATCAACATTCCATATAAACTCAGAAGACTCGTGTAGGTTCACTGGTGGTTCTGGATAGTAAATAAAATGTCTATATTTGTGTTGTAGTCATGGCGACCCCTGGTTCCTATCACCACCACTGTAAAGACATCTGAACCACTTCACACCAAACCACTCTGAATCACTCTGTTCTCTTATTTACACTGAGAGAATCAACAGCACCAATATTTCTCTGCTGTCAGAAGAAAACCTCATATCTCTATTTTTGTCGTTTTTCAGTTTTTTACGTAATTTGAAAATGCCTGTTGCTCTTTATATCGTACATAAATTTCATGATGGATGGACCAAATGAAACGGCCAAAACTGACCTGGAAAAAATTCTGGTTCCATTGATTTACATTAAAAGTATGTTTTTTCCTTCTCCTGTAAAGTTATTATTTTGGAGATACAAGGTTTTCTTACAACAAAAGCAATATATATATAGTTTTATAACTGGAGCTACGAGGCTAACGCAGCTAATAAGTAATGGAAGCTTATACCCATTAATTAGCATCATTTCTAAATCATCACTTGTGTCTCACACTGTGTGGAGGTGTTCAAAATCTCTTACAGACTTACTGATTATGTGGTTTCTGACACTGTATGTACGAAGTTCCAAAAACGGAACTATAGATTTTAGCTAATCGACACAATCTTGCTGGCCAAACAATTACAACTAGATAATGATAAAAGAAAAATCGTAGATTGTAGGAATAGGTAATTGATTGACCGATTGATTCTTCATTAAGTAAACTAATGCTTGTGTGTTCAGCAGTGAGCTGAAGGAGGGTCTGTGTGACCTGTTCAGTGCTCTCTCCATGGCCTGCTGGCTGTACGGACACTTCCCCACCACCACTGCTCTGAAGTAGAGCCCCCCCTGCAGGAAGTGGCTCAGCAGGGCCCCCTGGAAGCCCAAAGTGGTCCAGCGGGCGAGCTTATCACTGCAGGACAGCGACAGGGTGGGCTCTCCCCGGCCGGGCTTCACCCGCAGCAGCCCTACGCTGTGGTACTCTGAACCGGGACCCAGGGGGTCCGCCGGGCCCCCAGGAACACACTTGGCCCCGGTGCGGTGGATGTCAGGCTGCTGGACGGAGTTGCTCTTCGCAGCTTCAGCGTTTTCTTCCACTGCGGTTTCATGTTCTGCCTGTGAATCATCACCGGTTTGTGCATCATCTGCTGAGACTTTCAGGCGCTTCCTCACTCCTCCGGTCTCTTCACTCCGCCTCTCTCCTACAGTCTCTGAGTCCTGATTGGTCACCCAGCTGTCCTGCTCTGCCTTTATTGGTGGACATGGCTGAACCTGGCTGTCAATCATGGGGATGATGGAGGCGTCTCCACCTGGATTGTAAAGAGAAACACAGACGTCAAAATGTTGCTCATTTCAGGCTTCGACTTGAATCCTGCAGAAAGTGCATTTAAAATACTTTAAGCGATAGAAGAAAATGTGCAGTGAGGAGAACAGCCACTAAGTAAGGTCTTCCAGGTTTGTCTGACACTAGAGGGCGCTCCTGAGCAAGTCCAAAATGAATCGGTTAATATGGAGCATTGATTACAAGCTAGCAATCCAAATAACTCAACTAACGTTCATCACAAGGTTCATCACAGGGCTGAGTGTGTGTGTCTCACAGGGAGGAGTGTGTGTCTCACAGGGAGGAGTGTGTGTCTCACAGGGCGGAGTGTGTGAGTCTCACAGGGTGGAGTGTGTGTCTCACAGGGTGGAGTGTGTGTCTCACAGGGTGGAGTGTGAGTCTCACAGGGCGGAGTGTGTGAGTCTCACAGGGTGAAGTGTGTGTCTCACAGGGTGGAGTGTGTGTCTCACAGGGTGGAGTGTGAGTCTCACAGGGCAGAGTGTGTGTGTGTCTCACAGGGCGGAGTGTGTGTGTCTCACAGGGTGGAGTGTGTGTCTCACAGGGCGGAGTGTGAGTCTCACAGGGTGGAGTGTGTGTCTCACAGGGCGGAGTGTGAGTCTCACAGGGTGGAGTGTGAGTCTCACAGGGTGAAGTGTGTGTGTCTCACAGGGTGGAGTGTGTGTGTCTCACAGGGCGGAGTGTGAGTCTCACAGGGTGAAGTGTGTGTGTCTCACAGGGCGGAGTGTGTGTGTCTCACAGGGTGAAGTGTGTGTGTCTCACAGGGCGGAGTGTGTGTCTCACAGGGTGGAGTGTGAGTCTCACAGGGCGGAGTGTGTGTGTCTCACAGGGCAGAGTGTGTGTCTCACAGGGCGGAGTGTGTGTGTCTCACAGGGCTGAGTGTGTGTCTCACAGGGCGGAGTGTGTGTCTCACAGGGCGGAGTGTGTGTGTCTCACAGGGCGGAGTGTGTGTCTCACAGGGTGGAGTGTGTGTGTCTCACAGGGCGGAGTGTGTGTGTCTCACAGGGTGGAGTGTGAGTCTCACAGGGCTGAGTGTGTGTGTGTCTCACAGGGCGGAGTGTGAGTCTCACAGGGAGGAGTGTGTGTGTCTCACAGGGAGGAGTGTGTGTGTCTCACAGGGCTGAGTGTGTGTCTCACAGGGCGGAGTGTGTGTCTCACAGGGCGGAGTGTGTGTGTCTCACAGGGCGGAGTGTGTGTCTCACAGGGCGGAGTGTGTGTCTCACAGGGCGGAGTGTGTGTGTCTCACAGGGCGGAGTGTGTGTCTCACAGGGCTGAGTGTGTGTCTCACAGGGCGGAGTGTGTGTGTCTCACAGGGCGGAGTGTGTGTCTCACAGGGCTGAGTGTGTGTCTCACAGGGCGGAGTGTGTGTGTCTCACAGGGCGGAGTGTGTGTCTCACAGGGCTGAGTGTGTGTCTCACAGGGTGGAGTGTGTGTGTCTCACAGGGCGGAGTGTGTGTGTCTCACAGGGCTGAGTGTGTGTCTCACAGGGTGGAGTGTGTGTGTCTCACAGGGCGGAGTGTGTGTGTCTCACAGGGCTGAGTGTGTGTCTCACAGGGTGGAGTGTGTGTGTCTCACAGGGTGGAGTGTGTGTGTCTCACAGGGCGGAGTGTGTGTGTCTCACAGGGTGGAGTGTGTGTCTCACAGGGCGGAGTGTGTGTCTCACAGGGTGTGTGGCTGCTGAAGAAGATGAAGGAGATTCCAGGCCGGAGGTTCCATTTTCCTTTCTGATCAGCAGGACAGAAAATGGAGTTCTGGTCACCACGCAGCGCCGCACACAGCTGCTCCGTCAGATACCTGCACACAGAGAACACCAGAACTCTGCTGGAGACGGAGAACCGCATTTAAAAAGCTGAAGGAACCATAAGAGCATTAATGGTTCAGCCAGAAATGACATGTGCACAGCCTTTCCCTTCACACTGAAAGGGCTAGACGGTGTTATTTTGTCTGAAGCTTCTATAAACATGGGTGTTTAGAGATGCTGCTGCTGTGTTTAGCTGTGCTTTGTACTGTAGTCCATGTTTATAGAGCACAGTGAGTCACACAGAGTCATCAGGTCTATTAGAGACACTGATCAGCTCACGGTCTGAGACGAGTGGTGATGTAGGCACAATGCTAATTGGGGTATTAGCTTCCATTATTGTTAGCTACATTAGTCTCGTAGCTCCAGTGCTAAAACTAAAGAAGCAAACTTCAGACACCAAACATGCCCTATATGTCAAAATGTCAAGCTATACTGAGAACACATATACACTGGCCCCCAAAAGTATTTGGACACTAGTAAAAATTTCTTTTGATTAATTTCAAAACTGTTTAACAAAATTACTTTTGAGCATTTGAGAGAAAAATATGTTTAGGAC